CTGGACCGTTCAGATAATGCCGAACTCTATTTGGTAGGCCCTTCCAATTGAGATCTGCAAGCTGGTACAGTTCTAAGAACGCATGCAGGGTGCAATGCAAAAAGTCTCTGAGGTGTCCCAAGTAACATTTCTCCTTGCATGTTTACCTAAACCATCAGGCACCCAGGCAAGATTAGCATAAAGCAGCATCGGCAGTTTGTTGCGACTGGTGTCATTGTAGACCGCTGCAGAACATTGGGCTTGGTTCCAAGGACCTAGAGCGGTCAGGCTACGCACCCCTGAGTTTCTCGCAAGTGCTTCACCATGGAAAAGCATGAAAAGAGAAAACAGGAAGAGGCTGTACTCTCCAACGGGAAGCGACAGCGGGACCAAGAGCTGTTGGTGCATGGCAGCACTGTCCTCCCAGGTACGTACAATAGCCTCACAAAGTTCTGAATGATTTGGTCCTGCAAGGTGATGGGGATAGTATTGCAGTCCGTCAGTCCCGCCACCGGTCTCTTAGATAAGAAGGCTGTGAGAAAGCACGGTGCAAAAGTGACCCAATCAGGTGGCAAATTAGAGGTTTATAATGACCTGGTGGGGAAGGAATGTTATGATTGAAAAGGATTGTTATTTCTCCAAATGGGTTGGTTGTGTGAAGGGCAGTTCACTGTGTTATCAGCACTCTCAATCGGCGTCAGGGCGAGTTTGTAATTGTGTCCAAAAAGGCATCTGAGCCAATCTTCATGTCAGCCAATCGCTATCAGCCCTGGTGACTCCTCCATGTGAGCAAAGTTGTTGTCCCTAGAACGCAATTGAATTTGGAAGCCTCTTAAAAGAGGGCACCTTGAGAATTCAACGGTTGTACTTTTGGGAACTTTGTGAGCCCCAAGCCCCCAGACAAACCTTACAAAGGTTCTGCCATCTGGTCGCTGTGACCGTTGTCTTGATTCCATGTTTGTCTGTTGCTCACAAGGCTGCTGATAATTAGTGTACCTACTCATCTATGCAGACGGGCCCCCGGTGGACTTCAAAACACGTCTTGCAGAACCGTTGGGCGACGCGATGATGGTCGTCGGTGGTGCTGCCCCTAACCAAGTGCGCCGCTTGTAAGCACGGTGATCTTGCGCTGGCAAAACTTGACTCTGCTGCTCTCATTTTGGGGGGTCCCTTGAGGATGCTTCTGGCATTCGTGAATAGCTTGTGGTGGACTGGAGTCTACTTTTGGTTGAGCTGCTCATAAGGGAGACTATGGCCCTTCTGCCCTCTCGGGGTGTTACCTGACTAAGAAGCATCAAATAGCACCTCAAGGAGGTTTGAACAAACGCAAGCTTCGCAATCACAATTTCACCTGAAAAAAGGAGTGCCGGACCTTTCGAGACTTTGTGCTCAATCTGATTCTAGAACAAGCTGTCAAATTTGAAATAAACCAACCGTGTAAAGATAGGGGGTAAATCTGCTGGGAAAGCACCACTAAGGTCGTGTTGTTTTGGACTCCCGGAAATAAGAAGGATACTTTGTTGGTCGGTGAATCCTCTTTATTCTCCTTACAGAACGGTAGCGAGAGTTCTTTCGGGTGCCTTCAAAGCTGGCGTGATGATGGACCTGTCAAAGATCGAGTCGTGTCCGATGCTGTTACCTTCCTACTTTCCAAGGCCGACGCCCATCCAGTCCGAGGCCATCTCGAACGACGACATGCAGCTCACCGTCTTTGACGTCGTCAACTTCGTAAGTTCGAGCATCGCATATGCCTGCACCCAAATCATTTCCTAATTGAACATGACCTTACAATCTTTGTCTGTTTCATGGACTGAGGGATCTCTTGTATTTTCCTGTGCAAATGCGGTCCGCAGAAAAGTGATTATGTATTGAGAGTGTAATGCTCACATCTTCCTCATCTTCAGCGTCTCTTTCAAGCTTGCACATCGTTTTGCTACGTTTCCACCTTTGCAACAGTTCGCTTTAAGTAGTCTCACCACTTGGAGTCCTGTGATTTCTAGTGTCCCAAAAGCTTGAAACCATTGCATTAGCCGTTTTGTTCTCTGTGTTCTTTGTTATTAGGGGGTGTTTGCATATCTTGATTGAGGCAAGCATGCTGATGTGCCGCTCCACCATCCACAGGTGTTACGTCAATTTTCTGACTATACTTTGGGCAGTACGCTATTCTGCCAAACCCCCTGAAGCATTCGAAGGCGGCCACGGAAAGGCTTAGTCGTATCTGGCATCGCAGTGGGACCAACGGTTCAAAGTGGGATCGGCCAGACAATATGCTCCTTCGAGCGTGGAATGACGACGGCGCGTATGACCCAAAGTAAGCGTGCCTTTCTGATCAGTCTGGTGAGGCGAAAAAACTGACACGGAACTTCTATTTTTGTTCGTGACTTCGGCTTTGCTGAGTTGTGGAGCCTCGTAAATCACGCCTGTCGTGTCGACGATTCAGTGCTTCTTGTCATTTGCTCGTGCCTTGAAGTGTTAGTGTGCTTTTCCTTTTTACAAAGAAGGCTGCATCATTCTTTCTATGTCGCGCACTCTTGGAAGGATGCCAACCATAAGCTACTGCTTTCCTTGTCCCCAGAAAGAACGCTGTTTTGAGCAGCGGCTTCTCCTCCAGAATTGCAATTTTGGGCCTGCTTCCTGAATTGTCGTTTTGTTGTGTTCTGCCACAGACACAGGTCAATCAAGTCGAACCGACTGAGGCTGTTTTTTGAGCCGAACGCCTGAAAGCAGCGGTGGTCTTGTGCAGATTGGCACAACATCAACAACTCGCTTGCATGCAGGCCCGAATCGTTACTCGATTTTGTGGGCAAAGAGTATGGTGTCTTCACCGAAGGCTTTGACGAGGAGAAGGTAGCCAGCGGAGAGCTGAGTCTCGGTCATGATTGGGACACATTGAGGTAAGTTGTTCAGTCCGGTCACTAGCAAAGGTTGTAGCAGCTTATGATTGAGAAAGGACCTTTTTGTCTGAGAGCATCTTTGCTTGTCGCTCGTCAAAGCCGGAAGCTCTCGCTTCTCATTCAACTTGTGGATTATTGCTGTGTGATGTTGCCCCACGAGTTATACTTGTAACCGTGGTCGGTGCTCTTACATGCCTTTGAGTAGATAGCATCTGAGAGAGTGGCAACAATGTTTCCCTGCATTTCTCGAGATTCATGTCAGCTTCGTCTCAAGCAGATCAGAGGCATGCCTGTACCCATCCAGGATGCAAGTGGTAGGTTATCTTATGTTTCGGGCGAGGATCAGGAGAAGCTTTAAAAGCCAAGAGATCACACAGAAGTGGTTTCTCATTTCGCCAAATACTATCTAGGAATGTAACGTTTCCTTACGCAGCGCGGAAGCCAAGCACGCAGTGGGAGAGCTTGCGCAGCACCTTGTGGACGACGGCCTGGAGACGGGGATCTTGTACACGCGCAAAGTGCTGTGGGAGGTTGAATTGGGAAACTCGGATCCCAACAATTTGGTGGTGTGCATCGGCGAGCCGGTCACAGCAAGCGACACGAAGCCGTCCATGGCCGAGGTAAGACTTGACTTCATCAAAAAGATTTGTAGGTCTTGCCGAACGTACGATGGACTTTTTCATCTACACAAGTACGGAGTTGATACATGTCGAAAGCTTCAATTGCGGGCAGATAGAGAGGTCTGCCTCAGATGAGCCGAGCTTTCTTGGAACGTACAGTGAGATTCGACGCTTGTTTTGTGATCCGGTGGACTCCGTCCGGGTTTTCTTTGCTTGTCCGGCGGCGCCGACTCTATTGTCAATGGAGCTGATCTCGTGCGAAGCTGATGTGGCCCACAAGTAAAGTTGGTGGATCATTGAGAGCAATGTCCCTAGCAGTCCAGATTCTTTTATTTCCCCTCGTCAGGAGGGCTCTTGGTGGTTCGGTGCAGTTTCTTCAAGGGCGTCTTCGATGTTCTGGCAGCTCCTCGGCCAGCTTGTACTTGGTCGACAGAAGGTGCGAGCTCATCTCTGTTCTCGCCATAAATTCCCGGAACGGTATTCCCTGTTTGGCTTCATGCTCTTGGTTTCTGCGCAGGTCGTTTTTGCGCTCGTCCACGAACGACTGGTCTCCGAGAGGCAGAGGAAGGAGGACGAAGAGGAGGACGCAGCAAGGGCGGCGTCTGCCAGGGAAGGAACGCAATCAGGTGGGTTCGAGCACGGGGTTATAGCAAGTCGGTTTGAAGACGATTCAAGCTCCAACGGTCCCACGTCTTCAGTGAGCGGGGTTTGGGCCTCTGGCGATGAGACAAATGGGGACGAGCTGCTGCGCGAATTCGTCGACACGGAGCCAGCCGTGCACGGTAACTCACTGGTCCGCATTGGCAGGTGTGTCTCACTACTAGTAACGACTCGACATGGGGTGAAAGTGGTGTCTTGATATTGTCAAGCAGGTTATTCATTGAGCGTTATCGACATAATCCTTGACGAATTTCGTTACAGTCCGCTACGGCCGTGTTTATCTCTCCGATCCGAAGGCCGCGAGTTGAGGCAAGAGGATCGAGAGTCTCATTGTATTGATATACATAAAACTATTCTTTTGCTTCACTGGCTCCCCCTTTTCAAAAAGTAATGCAACCGAAGATTCTCTTGGCTGTTTGGACTGGGGCAGTTCTTTGAGCTTAATACAGTTCTTTGACTTAACACAACGAGCCTGGAGTTTGATTCCTTTGTGGGGGTTAGTGGTTTCTTACTGTTGAAGGGGTACTCTTTGGTTGACCCCGAAGTCAGGTTTGACACCTCTTTCCTCCAGCCATGGCACAAAGTCGGTCCTTACCTGGTCTTCATATGCAAGTCGTTGAGTTGTCGCATTGCTGACATGCGATTGATCGGCTGCAGGATAAAAGGGGTGAAAGTCGCTGCGAAATTAGTCATCGCCGACAAGGACGTTTGGGTGAAGAAGGAGATTGAAAACGAGAGCCGATGTCTAGAAGCACTTAAGTCGTTGCAAGGGTCTGTGATACCAGAGAAGCTATTCGCTGGCAAAGTCAACATGGGGAAGGATAGATTACTGGTCACGAAGTTTGTAGAAGGAAGCCGATTCGACGAGGCCCAAATCACAAAGGAAGTGGCCGCAGCTGCCCGGAATGCTTTGCAAGAGATTCACAAGAAGGGGTACATCCATGGAGATGCTAGGGCTTGTAATATCGTTGTACAGAATGGAAGAAAGTGCGTCTTTCTTGACTTGGGGCGGGCTCGACGGATCAAGTATGCAAGAGAAAAGCGAACGGAGATGTCCGAATTAGAAGCGGCTATCAGGAACGGTTTCAGGAACTGTTTCAGGAACGGAACCAAGCCAGACTCTGTGTAGCCGAGCACTTTCATTAAGATGGTTCATTGTATGCCAGCCGAGAAGCAAAAGGAGAAGTACCATTATGGAATTTGCAATCTGCTATATAATATCAAGACAGAGTGGATCAAAGTTCTGAAGCTTGACAGCCCCAAGACAACCATGCATGTACACTTGGACCTTTCGAATTGTTGTGTTGATCATTACGCATGCGAAGTACATCATTCCGCGTTAATTTTAAGCATGGCAGAAGTTTACATGGTACCCCGTGCTTGCAACGAATTCGACCTGAAAGCCTACATGTATTTCGTGGAAGCCTGCGCCAAAGGGCAGATTATCACCTGGGTTCTTAGAATGGGAAACCTCGCAAATTAAGATGACCTTGTTATGCTATTGAACACTGCTTACTAGAAAGAGACTTTCTCGATTGAAGTCGACTCATACTGCCGTTGCATGGCCATCGTCTGAACTTACCCTCTTCGCGGTGCCCGACTCGCGACACGGGACTCGCGATCTCATGAATCTCATGGCCCTTTTAGCCTTTTCCCCTCTGATTCAATTTGAGCCCCGGGGCCCGGGCCACCACTGCCAGGCTCAGTGCATAACGGCCAACACTTGTGAACCTGTGAACCGGAGGGGAACCGGAATTTCGATAGGAGTTCACAAGTTCTGTGCCTCTTGCCTGATCTGCGCAGACTGCAAGGGAGTCACGACTCACATGGACTCACACTGGTCAACGTGATCGACTCGAAGGGAGTGCTCTTGCGGACGTGCATCACGAACTTTTAGGCCGAAAAGCACGGTCCAGAAGTCCGCAGCACGCCGATCACTTGACGACGTCAGCATACGCCAGATCATTGGCTGCGCCGTCCGCACCGGAGTCATCATGTCGCCCAGACGCTCCAGAATTCACACTCCTTGCTTGATTCATCGAACCTGGCTTCGTGCTAAACGTATGCGGAGCATTCTATAATGGCGGCGCTGCCAGATGGATGAGGGTGGCGCTAGCTCGCGGGGTGCTGCCTGCAGGCCAGCGGTTTGCTGGCCCTGCGTGGTGGCAAGAACGATCCAGGGACCAAAAAGATAAGGAAGGAGTCCCTTCGAGAGCTTTTCAGCTGCATTTGAAGAAATCTGCTGTTGCTAATCCTCCAGCAACTGTCGAAACTCCTGTCTCGTGAGCTTGTGCAGGATTTTCTGTGCCCCACATTTGACATCCATCAAAAAGCAACCAACCTGTTATATACAAGCATGGCGTGTGTGTGTCGTTGCTGTGTGTAACTTGGTGCAGCTGCCATGGTTTCTGGGACCAGTCCAACTTCTTCTAGCTCTCCGCTCGAATGGATTCTGGAGAACAAGTCGTGGAGACGGCTGCCTTTTAGTAAAGCCCTGGCTGTTAGCTTGGATCCAACCCCAGCAGGATGATTGCTTGAGCCTGCACCAGTGCTGGGGGTTTTGCAGGGGGGTTTGTTAGAAGGGTGTTTGGCTGGTGCAGGGACTACAAGTCGTTAGGAGGGTTTTCAGGTGTATAGCAAGCGATCAGGGGTATATAAACATCAAGCAATTGAACAGGACTACCTTTGAACCCAGGGCATTTGTTAGTTTAGGTAGAGTGTTTTCTTGTCTCCACAAAAGCAACCCTCCTGATTCCTGAAAGGTTCTCGTGTAAAGATGGCTCAAGGGCAAGACGTGAAGCGTCGCGCGAGTACTCTTGAAGGGGAGTGGCTGAAGTCTCTGGCTGCAAACGTTGGGGAGCAGTGCGGCGAGCAGAGCACAGTGGATATCGCAGACATGCTGGATGCTAGCCTTCAGGACGACGAGGTCAGCGATGACGAGGTGGATGTGGAGGGGTTGGAGCGGCGGATGTGGCGAGACATGTGGAAGCTGCGGCGGCTCAAAGAGAGGCTGAGGCGCAAGGAGGGAGCCGACGAGAAGCCCCAGCAGAAGCAGTCGCAGGAGCAGGCGCGCAGGAAGCAGATGTCGCGGGCGCACGATGAGATACTGAAGTACATGCTCAAGGTGAGAATTCAAGCTACTTCAGCATCGTTTGCTGGCATGTTTAATTACTTCAGCATCTCAAGAAAAGACACTCTAATCAGTGAGATTCCTAAGTACCCTACATGCTCAGGTTGAAATTCAGGGTCCTTCAGAATCTGAAGGAGAACGAATCTGCTTGGGGGAGTACTTGCGGATGAGGACAATTTGAGCTAGTGACAGAAGTTCAAACATTTTATTCCAAATATTTTCCAGAGGGGGATCCGCATTCTGGCTTTTTGAGTATTCCCCAGATTGTAAAGTTTTTTGAAGAGTTTGTCCCGGATCCAAACACGTTCGTGTTTCTCAACCTTCTGAAGTGCAGTTAAGGTTCAGCACACCAGAAATTATTGGAAGGTGGATTATCTCAGACTTTTCTACATTGAGTAGTCTAATAGCACTAGCATCTGAAGGATTCCCCCACTTGCTCAATTGATTTGTCCCCTTCTTGCGCTGTATCTTAGCGTATGCAACCTGTCCCTTGGGGCCAGGCATGCCTGTCTGAGCTTGGTTTCTTTCGAGACAGTCACGGTAGTTCCATGCTTGATTTCCAGCCATTTCTCATCCATATGTCTGTGAACAAGCAATCTCTTCTAGTCTTGCAAGTGTCCACCTTAATCGCTGTTAAATGTGGATTGCCAGCTTTTGAGATGGAGTCCTTGTAATGGACGGCTTTTCCGGAAAGACTCAAGGTCTTGCCTCTGGTTTGCTGCTCTTTGACCTTCACCTTGCATGCCAGGCAACACAACTTCCTGGATAGACCTGACCTGTCTCTTGGACTCATTTTCCCGTCTCAGATCCTGATCGAAGTAGATGTCCTCTCCCCTTTCTAGTACTACATCCTAGCATCGAGGAACTCTTGTCTCCTTAAATCTTTTCTCCAAAACCTTTATCCTATCATGTCTACTAATTAGAAGAGATGACAGGACTCTATCACTCTTACCTCTATCTCTATCTCTCTCACCTCTCTCGTTAATGCATATTCTCTTGAAATATGTTTGTAGGTTATTCTGGTTGGACTGAGGCCTCTTGTTTCATTTTCAGGTCATTTTCTCCTCCATTTTTGAAATTCGATCAAGATGTTTGTTCCTCTGGCTCTCAGGCAGCGATGATAATGGTTAACCCTCTCGGTCAATATCCTTGGGCCTATGTGTGATTTCTTTATCCTTTTTGGAGAAGCTTCACTCAAACAACTCATCATATTCGATATGTTCAAGGGGGGCCTTTGGATATAGGTTTGCCCCTCAAACAAGGAAGGACATGATGCTGCTGACAAGGTCCAACTCTGGTTGACCTGGCAAACAATCATTACTTGCTCACGCCTTCCCTGCATGCCCAGGACCAGATTTTTGACTGTTGTAATGAGGTTTCCCCCTTCTTCTTCCTTTGCTTGAAGAATATCTGCAAGGTATGAGGAATATCTGCTGCAAGGTCTGCATCCATTGTCGTCCATGTCAAGCCCCCCAGGAGTACACATAAGCTTACGTTGCCTGCAGTGAGGTAGCATTAATGACAAATATATGCAGGAGCCAGCAGATCTGACCATGCTGCGCCATGCCAAAAGAGATTCCATGCAAGTCAGCAGAATCAAGCCAGGCTTTTCCCTTTGAGCCTTGTCTTTGTACAAACATGTCACATCATCGTCCCCCAAACTCCGATTCCCTGGGGAACAGCATTGCGCCTTTCGTCCCAGCAGCTGTTCTGGACCACTCAAAGGCATCTTGTGCTGGTCTACTTATCAATGGTGCATTCTTTGTCAGACATTGGCCCTGCTTCTCACACATGCTCTCCATCTCCCCTTCCCTCCTCTCAAATGATGGAGTCCTATAATGCGCAAGGCTTCATGTATCAAGGGTGCAGATTCTCCTCCCCAAAATACCCCTGCTTCTCACACGTGCTCTTCTGTGCCCCGATCTCACATTATGGAGGTCTACAAAGGCGCAAGGCTTACTTGTTTATTTATCAAGGTTACATATTCACTTTCACCCATTACCCCTGCTTCTCAGACGTGGTTTCATTCTCCCCCCCCTCACATGATGGAGGTCTACAAAGAGCAAAGCTTGCTCTTGTTTACTAGTCATTGCCTCAAAAAATTTCACTCATTTCCCCTGCTTCTCACACACACTCCTCACCTCCCCCCCACAGATGATGGAGGTCTACAAGGCGCAAGGGTTTGTGTACGGCATCATCCCCGAGAAAGGCAAGCCCGTGGGGGGCGCCTCCGAGAACCTCCGCGCCTGGTGGAAAGACAAGGTCCGCTTCGACCGCAACGGCCCTGCCGCCGCCGCTAAGTATGCAGCAGAGCACGCTTCCCAGTGGGGGGGTCCCAATCCCCAGTCCCCCCCGGCCCCCACTCCCAGCAGTCTCGCAGAACTCCAGGACACGACTCTGGGGTCGCTGCTGTCGGCGCTGATGCAGCATTGCACCCCCCCCCAGCGGAGGTATCCGCTCGAGAAGGAGGTGGCGCCCCCCTGGTGGCCGACCGGGGAGGAGGAGTGGTGGCCGCAGGTCGGGCTGCCCCCGGGGTCGGGACCCCCGCCGTATAGGTGAGGGGTTTGCATGCGGCTTTAGGGCAGTTTGTGATGGCATTGATAAATCTGCAGGATGCTTTTGTTTGTTTCATAGATTTATCAGCTCCTTATGCTCGTTAATTACCAGTTTCCTCTCCGTGTCAAGTCGTTTAAGAGGTCGAGGAGGTAAAACAAACAGAAGCAGGTGGATGTGACAAGTTGAAGTGCCGCTTCTCTTGGGGGTGGTTGATGTGTGCACACCAGGCTTGAGATGGGAGGGTTTGCAGGATAGGGATAGCTAGCTTGCTGAAGTCTGTCGCATCAGGGATTGCCTTTTCATATCAACATTGGCAAGCGGCAAAAAGAAGACGCAGCATTTTTTTCATGTACGAAAATATGAATCAGGGCTCCCGGGATCTTAACCCGTTTTTCTGTAAACCCTCTGCACGTCATCCTTTCCCCATTTTTCGTTTGCCTAAGGTTCATGTAATGACCTTTGACAATATGACCACCTTTGTCTGAAATGCCATTGCTCTGCTTCCCTGTCCTTCAGACCAATGAACGCCCACGATCTTAAGCTTTGAGGCTCTTGGATAGCTGTTCATGTCTTCCTCTTTCTCATATCTTACATCTCCACTGTTTTTTGCATATGAAGCCTAATATTCTTCCAGGTTTTGGAATTCTTAGTATCAAGATTCTACAAATTGCTTGAAAGATAGGCTCCAACCTTTACACTCTCCTCTGGCCCGAGTCAACCTAGGTTTGATCTTTCTCAGATACTTCGATCCAATTGAACGTGACCAGCAAAAATGGCCGAGCTGAAGAATGCGTGTAAGCCGGGTATGCTGGTTGCCACCACCCTTGATTGTCCCGATCTAATCTGAGATAATCTCATTCTGACTTTGAAAATGAACTCAGAAAGTAGTCACGTCATCTAAGAATATCTCATCTTGACTTAACCCAAGTTTAACTGACCTAGCCCGACCTGCAGGAAGCGCCACAACCTCAAGACGACTTGGATGGTATGCATGCATGACATTCGTTTGCTTCGAAGTCGGTTTCTGACCTGACCTCTTGCAGTTTCACTTGACCTGACCTTATGCAACGCAATCCGACCCGCAGCTGAAAAGGGCGTGGAAGGGGCGTGCCGACCAAGACCATGATCACCTCAACTTACGCTTAGCCAAATCACCCTAACACAATCCGGCCTATTTTGAATGGTATCCATCCTAACTTGACCTTTCATGATAGACTTGACCGAAACTTGGAATAACCAAACCCGGCCTGCAGGAAACCCCACGACCTGAAAGGAAATGGCATGATGGTGGGCATGCTGACCGTCGTCATCGTTCAATCAACTCAATCTGGTTTGCGCTCTGACCTAACCCGACCTGATCCATTTTTTCCCGACTTGCAGGAAGCCCCACAACCTGAAGAAGGCGTGGAAGGTGGGCGTGCTGACCGCGGTGATCAAGCACATGGCCCCCGACATCTCCAAGGTGCGCAAGCTCGTGCAGCAGTCCAAGGGCCTCCAGGACAAGATGACCGCACGGGAGAGCGCCACGTGGCTCGCCGTCCTCGCTCAGGAAGGCGCCCAAAACGGCGGGGGGGGCCACCACGGGCCGGGGCCGGCGATGATGGTCAGCGGGGAAGGCTCTGCCGAAGATTATGACGTGGAAGGGCCGGCGAAACCGAGCCCCCCCCTCGTCATCACGTCTCTTCCGGGGGAGGACGAAGGGGAGAAAGCGTCCCCCCGAACTGGGCTCGGCGTGTTGGACCATGGCAACCGGGGGGTGGCGAACAGCAGCAGCGTGAGCATCGCGAGCCCCCCCCTGGGGCCAAGGAAGCGGGCGTCCCCAGGCGAGCAGCCGCATTCGGGGGGGACGCTGCTGTTCACGTGCCAGTATATCATGTGCCCCCGGCACGAAGCGTGGAACGCGTTCCCGAACCGGGCGGCGCGCAACGCGCACCAGGCGTCGTGCGCCTTCAAGGTGGAGGAAGGCGGCGTGGGGGGCGGCAGGGAAGCCCCCCGGAACGAGAACGGGGGGCTGATGAAGTCGGAGCTTCGGCAGTGGGAGGCGCGGCTGGGGGGGGAGGCGCACGGAGAAGCGGGGCCGCACGCACCCCCCCACGACATCTTCAAGAGCCCGGATCTGTTGCCCCTGCACTACCCGAACGACATCTTTGCGGGATTGTTTTCGGAGGGGGGCGAGCACGTTGTGGAGAAGGGGGGGGGGCAGTTCGGGAACCCCTTGGATTCCTTTTCTTTAGATGCGTTGGACGGGCTGGATGGACAGCACTGGGGGGGCGAGGCAGCGGTTCAATTTCCAAGGCCAGTTACCCCCCTGGAAGAAGTCGGCATCGACGGCGCGTTCCACACTCATTTGCCGGGGGGGCAACACGCGCCGCACCACCACCCCCCTGTCCTGATGGGAATTGACCATTCGGAGCAGAGGCAACGAGCTGCGCAGTCTCATACGCCGCAGGGGTTTGGCTCCTTCCAGGGGTTCTCCGGGGGGGCCCTTGAGAACAGTTTGCCACCGACGAATGTCCAGCACGACAGCCTTAGCATGTATACTACGAGCGGCCTATTAGAACAGATCCCTCAAACCGCAGCTCAGCAGGGTCACGAGCAGAGGAGTACGGATTGGTTAGGCTTGCAGCAAGCCGAAATGCTCTTTGGTAGCGGTGTTCCGTTTGCGCTGGAGCCGCCCAAGCGTCCTTCTCGCCAGGCCTCAGTAGCGGGCTCCCTTGTCGGGGATCAGTCGAAGAGTCCAGAATCAGCGGCTGTCTCGGAAATGGGGGACAGCGAGTTCGTGTGGTGATTGTTGGTTGATCAGGTCCCCTTGTTTATCGGTGATTGACCATGAGGAGTCGAGTTTGTCACGGGTAGTACTGCAATTTGAGGTCCGGAACTGTAGTCGGTCGTAGGATGATTCTGTCTGCTTAACAGTGCGCTATTGTATGTTGGTCTGACCCTGTAAAGGACGTCGCTCCAGAAATCTAACACTGTATCATTGGTTGTACTGGCATGCCCGGTTCATGATACACTATCGGTTTGGCATGACAGGTCGATCGATCAGACCTGCGGCTAATGCCGTTGATCATGACTCAGTGAGCATGATTGGATGCATCCTTGATCGAGTACAATCGGGACTTAGCTGCAATTGATTGTTTTTTTTGAGCCGCGCTACTAAGTAGATATTTAAATCTGGATCGATCTTGTGTGGGTTCAAATGCGTATATACATGGCGCCGAGGCGCGGCGCGTCATTTTGATCATGCAAGTGCGTGCCAGCATATAATTTGCATATGCGCGGTCGATCCTATAGAAGGCCATGCATGCGGTTGTATGGCTAGGCTGTATAGCTATAGTATAACATACATTTAGTGGAGCATTCTATATATATAGTCTGACTTATGTAGTCACTCAAGTCGATCAATCTGCTGATTGGATTGGAATCTGCGCATGATCCGATCTGAGCTGCGCCTGCCCGGGCCGGGCAAGTTTCAGGTTTGATCAGAATCAATCAACCTTGCGTCAGATCACATGGCATTATCGGACAAACCTGGCGGCTGAGCATCCAATTCAATCAACTGCCGTATGAACTGCATGCGATCGGATCAATCCGTTACAACATAAACCTGCTGAATGTAACTAGTTCTAAGTAGACAATATACACTACTACACTACACGACAAGTGGCTGAAAGAGCTCCTACAAGGAGCCCGACGCCTTCCTTCTCGAGTACTTATCATACACGTTCTTGTCTCAATACCCAATACTACAACTCGCAAATTGCGCTCGGTAATCTATATCAATTCCGCCTTGTCTGTCATTATTTGATCGATGCACTAAAACGTTTCCTCCAGATGGTCGGCCGGCCTCGCAGGGCGCTCGACCTCCGGATCTCGATCACGCATTTTATGCCTATATGAAGAGAGCGTATCCGAATCAACTTTGTACACATCGAACAGAGTACCTATTTGGCGAAGGATTTTCGCCGAAAGCCGAGGCGGCGCCGTGCTTTCACTGGGTGGGGGGGAGTGTCGTCCGGCGACATGGGAGACTCATTGAAGCCCCACCCCGCCTCATGGCGAGAAGGCTCTTGGAGCCCGGGGGAGATCGTCAATGGCGCGGCCCGTTCAGACACTCTCTTGCACTGGTCCGTTTGAAGGTATGCGCACGCAGCGAGGAGGTTGGTCAGGTGGTACCTGGAATTGTAAGCGATTCGTTGCTGAGTGGAAGTCTGACAATGCAAATGCTCGAAAAATCAGTTGCAGAAGTGGGAAATAGATGCACCACGTTTTCAGGAGGGAAACGATCTGATCGAAGGGGCCCCGTCATCTTCGCATCTTTTCCACAAGGAGCGACTCGAGGTCCGACCTTCTTCAGTCTGCCCATGAGAAGAACAGCCGCGCCTTGACAACAACGCTCGGAGCCAGACGCAAGACGAGGTCGATCGGAAAGAATCCCCCTAACTTGAGGCACGCCAGTCATGACATTCCCAAAGCAATCCGTGATGGAACCCATCTGGGTGCGGCACGTTGTTTGAGGCCCCGCAGCCTAGCTTTGAGTTAAGTGTTCCCATCCCGACCTTCAGTTATGACCGTACGCATTCTCATGAATGGGCAAGCGACGTTTGTGGAGGGAACCAACGAGACAAGAACATGGACTTCATTTCGCTATATCCCAACCCCCTTCTTAGAAGGACCCTGCAAACAGATGGCTTTCCGGAGACCTCAAGTCAATCCGGGGCCGAGGAAGTGGAGCGTAGTAAGCGAGACGGAGTCTTTGAGTGGAGCCTAGGTCACGTTGTCCGACGAACAATCTTGCCAGAAGCAGCTAAAGTCAGTGACAATCGTTCTGCCTGCTTTGGCTGTCATTTTCAAGGAAGCGAACCCAAAAGTGTCATCCAGATCAGAGGGGAGTAACGGCAAGAGTGTTTGTTCAAGTGAAGCAAGATGGAGCTTAAGATTCGCGTCAGTAGCAAGGGTGTTTGTATCAAGGGAACCGAGATGAAGCTCAAGAGTTGTGTTAGCAGCAAGAATCATTAATCCAACCGGAGCGAGATCAATCCCAAGGGTCGTGACTGATCTTAGGGGGACTGGGAAACCGGTGCGCTTACCCCAGCTCGCCCGTGAGACCGTCGTCCAGATGGAGGTTGAGAAAGTGCTCAATGTACATGGCTTGCGCGAGGAGCCGCGGAATCTGCAGTAGCGTTCGCTGATTGGGTAGGCTGATTTGCCGCTTGTCTAGTTTCCGCACTAGGTGTTTCCTCGTCGGCAACTTTCTTGCCCCACGCATCTCAGCTTTCTCTCAAGCTTGACACGAGCGAAGCCGACGAGACATGAAGCACTGCCTTCCAACCTTTTTTGAGGCTTGCAAACGCGTCAAGCATAGCTTTGAGAGCCTTCCTTACTGCAAGTCTACTCAAAGCTAGCGCCTTGGCACGACTCTGGTCTGGGCCACCTGCTGCGCTGACAAAACTCTGTTGGGTCGGCAGCTTTGACGAACGAGCCGTTTACAAAAGTTATGCCGTTCGGTCACCTACTCGCGAGCATTGTACGACTCAGGTACCGCACCTGGCTCAGATCCAATTCAAGTTGGGCGGCCAAGTTGTCAATCACATTTCCAAGCAAAGAAGGGGATGTCGAACAACTTTCGGGCCCAGACTGCTGCTTTTCCTCACCTTGGCTTTTGTGAGCATCAGCAACATGAGAGAGAGGAGGTCGTCGGTACAGGGCACAAAGTCGTCGCGCGCGCTCGCTCGCTTTGTTCGGGAGATGCCCTCGAGCATGCACGTCACCGTCTTCTTCAGGCAGAGTGCCTGCGGAGATAGTCACATTCGCGTACTTGGTAAAGCGCATGACAATTGAGGTCAAGACTTGGAGATGATAAACTTGGGCTTGGGTTTCAAGGATAAGTGCGGGGTTTTGAGGTGTGTTCTGTAGCTGACCTTAGTATACATGGAAGTTGGTTGATAGCATCGAACGGAACCGCTGCCTACGGGGAGAAGAAGGCTCAGGCCACATCGTAAGATTCGCAAACAGCAGATTTGACAATTTGAGCGGAGCCATGGATGTGCAAACGGAGCCTTAGGGAGCGAAGAAAAGCAGACACCTCGCCACATGACGCACTTGGGCGGCCTTTCGGTTGGACAGCGTGACAAAGATGCGTCAGGCGAATTGCGGGAAGGAGTGCCCTGTCAGGTGAATATCACGGGCAGAGACTAAAAGGGACAGTAAGATTGCCATTATCTGGGCCACCTGAGTCCGGACAAACCGAGTCAATGGGAGTACTGCCGAGACAGGAAAGTCACGTCCAGATGGGTTTGAGTTCGGAACCGGCGCCCGACTGGAGAAATGAAGAGGTAGGGAGACATGGCAAAAGAGACGAAAGAGCGAATCGAAACTAACACAAGGATCGCGTCAGGAAGAAGCTGAAGGGTGAAAGGAACTGAAGGGCAGGAAGCCCCCTGGTTGTTGACCGTGGATACAGCTCTTTGCGAGCAACCTCCTGGTTCTAGCGTCACTAAACTACACTGAACAACAGACTGACAAGTCTACACTTGGTCTCTAAAATATTAGGGGGTTGGTCAAAAAGAGCTAGATCGATACCAGGAGATGCAAGAGAGTGCGCTTGCCTTTTCAAGGGGGCTCCTGGCTAGAGGTAGAGACTGAAACTGCAAGACCGCATCGCCCAAGACCGCATCCTCGTACTCCTCAGTCACTCCCAGGACGCTCGTGGGCAGCTGGAAAGAGAAAGCGCGTTTGCGTCAGCTTCAGACATCGAACCAGTAAAAACAAAACATCCTGCTCACCGAGTCACTTTTCAAAAGTTGATCTACGGAGCGCGTATATGTTTTGACGCGCTATCTTGATCCATTCCATTCACGCAGGACTCATTCTAGTGAAACGTTTCTCCAAGCCAAGTGCATGCCCCTCCAAACGCCCAACTGCAGTTCCTCAAGCGAATCCAACCAGGTAAACCACAGCATAAGCTGAACACACGACAAACCGGTGGGGTGCACTCTCCCACAAAAAACCCCCAAAACTGCAAAACCTCAAAAAGGGACAACCCACCTTGTCGAGCTTAGCCAGCATGCTTTTGACGTCCGCCTCCCGTGCAGCGACCATGCCCGCCAACCCGTCGACCAGCTTGTCATGCAGATGAGCAAGGACCCACGTTTCCGATGCCAGGTGGACCTGCATCATGATATTCTTCTCAGTCATTCTCCCCTTTGTTTACCCCCCCAACCCCTTTATTTGTTACTTTCCCCCCTTAGGTGCCATCACATTGGGGGCTTTTTGTTGCTGAACTACAGAATGCGGGATCCTTCCTGTTGCTCTTGGCTCTTACGGACTCGTCAAAGGAAGACTGCCAGTCATCATATTGCTTAAAGCCAACTTTCCCAAGACAGTGCGAGGTTAGCCCTCCCTGTTTAATGGGCCTCTAGTCTTACTGACAGGGTTGGCTTCGGATCATGAAACCTGGTAAAATTCGGGCACCAGCAAGAGCCAACGCCTGTAGGACAGGCAACCGCTGGACAAAGCCCCCCCAGTGGTTGAGCTGCTCTCTCAAATACCCCCACAATGTGGTGATCAAAAAGCAATCTCTCCTACGGCAAATAAACCTCGGCCTTTTGCCCCATAATAGCTGGTCAACTCAAGCAGAAGAAGAAACAAACAACCAGAGAGTCCCATGACAGGACTACTGCCGGATGCATAATGAATTCAAGCGTTGAGACCCAATTGACCCAACCGGCTTGCCTCCTCACCTGCTGTGTCCGTTCCATGTTCACCCTACACAGCTTGGCCAAACCCTGGTTAGTCTCGAGCAAACTGTCCCCCAGCGTCCGTGCAATGCGCTTCACAGTGCCCCGCCAGGCTTCAATTCGGAACTGCAAAGTGTAAAGTTCGTCAAAATCGAGGCAGCCCTGTTATAACTTCGGTGACATAGCAGGTTTCTCAATCAGTAAGACCTCCCTGTATCTGTTATGCACAACTCATGAAAGGGACCTGTATTGAGAAACCCAGCCAGACTGCTCAACTCTTTCACTGTCCACACAACTTGCTTCCAACGCGGCAGCTCCAATGAGGTTTTGTGCTGAAAAGTTACTTATCAACCACACACAGCTCTCAAAACAGCAAACTTTCATGAAACCTTCTGCTTTTGAACAACTTGCTCCATATGCATAATGTGCCACCACCAACAGCTCGCTGACATGACGCTGACATGGCACCCCTTTGGCCCTCACCTCGTCAGGCAGCGACATAGTGCCGAGCTCGTACGCATCGTTGAAATGCGCTATCATCCGCTGCGCGTGCATGAGACTCGACGGACTGCAATATGTCTGCAGAAAATGGGCCACTCCCTCCACCGTCTCCAATCCCTCAAACCCTTCTTCTGGGGGGGTGTCCGTACCCCTGGCCGAGAACTCTTGGGGACCCCCCCCGGAGGAGTAACTCTGCGCTCGACTGTGGCTGGCGGTGCTAGAGGAGTAGCCGGGGAAGTCTGAGCCATCGCTGCTGTCAGCCTGACTCAGCATGACCTCCGTCTCCTCTGAGTCGTTGTCGAAGGCCATCAGATCTGGCAGGAACCGGCCCCTCATCTGCAGCCCCATTTTGAGAGGTATCTAAAGTTGCTCCCCCTTGAGTACAAATGGGTAACTGGCTGAGGTCCCTTCTTGAGTAACTTACTGTCCTTACGCGAGCACTGCTACTATGAACCTGCTAAAGCACATATCTTTACAGATGTAAACTATCAACTGCTGGCTACTTTTGTTGACCTTCTATGACTAGCTACGGACCAAACGCCCTCGGCCATATGAATCCCCTCACATCAAACTCAACCAAGAACATCCTACTGCTATGTTACAATATTCTAATGGAGGGATACTTCTGGACCGCAGTCCACAGATTCACAAGGCCGCATGATCGTGAACACGAGCCGGGAGTTGCTCCAAGTGGAAGAAGGTCAAGTTGCCTTGAAAGGGACGTGCGGACTTGTGCATGCACTGCTTTCAGTCCTTCGTTATTCTCGCTCTGTGATCATGCTTGCTCCCGCCACAATACAGATCAAGGGGGTTGCATAATTGTTAAGGTGGACATCATCTCTGGCCCCAGTTTGGGGACACAACGATCCCGTGAGCCCCAGGGGGTTTCTTCGCCCAATGTGGGCAATCGACTGGGTCAAAGCAGAGCTCCCTGCAACAGGCTAGACTACGAAGTGCACAGGATGACACAAGCTGAGCTCTTCATGAGCTTATTCTCCATCCTAAATATTTGAGAGTAGAATGGGTCGTCTTGCACCTTCGTGCAGCTTCTCGCTTGCGAATAAAAGGACGACTATGAGCTCGGCTGAAGCCTTCAGCGTCTCTCTCCGAGTCCTAGCTCTTTCCCTGCTGGGAACTGTTGCAACTGTTCTGACATTCAAATTGCTGTTCCACGACATCCTGGACACACTGGACTCTGGAGTCTGGACAGTGCAGCCCAGACTTGCAGTCAGACAGTACGGTACGTCATGATGACTGTCACCTCAAACCCTAGGACTGATTCCGTGCTGACAACAGCGGAAGCAGAACGGACCTGTGGCGGATTCCGTCCGCCCCGTCATGTAGCCCTGCACAGCTGGCAGCATCATGCTGCTGCATAGGAGGCAGCATTATTAATTAGGTCTTAAATAGATGGCAGCATCATGGCTGGGCAGCAATGGCGCAGCCCTCCTTGTTTCGGCAGAAGAGCTTTGTGTTCGACTCTCGTGACGGGGAGACGCAAATGGAGCAGGGAGTAGCGGGCAGCGTGCTTCCTTCGGCTGTGCCAAGACTGCGTGCGAAAGGCAGGTTGAAATGCTAAGCTGCGGGGAATAAGGAAAAGGCAGAGAAGCGAAGGCCCTCTATGTGCCTTCCGCCATTGCATTTTGTACTCTAGGAGCGGGTGCAAGGATGGATTTCACGGAGCAGGCGTTTCTCAGAGTGCATCATCGCCTGACGGGGTTGCTGTCGACCTTCCTGACCCCTCGCTTCAGGAGGTGTTTGGAGTACCTGTGCCTCATGAACGCCGTCACACTACTGGGGGTTCTGGTATTCATGCACATCAACTTTGTTGGCCAGGTATTGCAGCTCTTACGCTCTCATTCATCATTCTCAGTGAACAACAAGGTTTTCAAAGAACCAATTTACCTTCTCTGCTGTCCATCGAGTCAGGGGAAGAAAATGCATTCTGAGCCTGGCGAAAGATTCTCTTCGTCAGTTGACGCGGAAATTCCAGGGGTTTTTGAGCGCGCCGTCTGCTGTAATCTTACTGATGAGCTCAGAGTTTGAACCACTGGCCAAAATCTACCTTAAGAGCAGTCAAAATTTTGAGTTCACCTCAGCATAATGCTGATATCAATTTGAGGCAGTTTGAAGCTACGCCTTCAATGTCATGGTTGCCGTTACTGAAAGTTTGTTCAGTTTGCAGCCAGCATGTGCGGCGGAGTTTATGGAACCCGAGCTTGCGGAGGCGCAGATGCTGGAAGTGAAGGTGGGAACTCCTTCTTAGCATCATCCTCATGTTCTTGTCAGAGATTGCGTAGTCAGACTGGTGCCTCCTGTTCAGCCATGATAGATTCGGATGAACAGCAATATGGATAGAGAGTCTGTTCAAAGACACAAATCCTTGAACGAACACAAGCACCGGCGCTAAGGTGGATATGGAACTTTGCCATGTGATTCTGGAGCAGTCCCCGTATCAATGAGTGACAACAGCATTGCAAGCCAGTGAGAGTTCCTCTGTACAGCGCCCCAGGTACCAGGTCCGTCAGGCAGAACGTGACGAGTCTTTTCTGGACCGTGTGGAGGCTTTCGCTCAAATGGAGGGTGGGACTGTATATAGGCACTGCTTTCTGCTTCATAAATCAATGTCAGTCAGCCGGTTTTCCCCAATGAAACTGGTCGCAAATTTGCGCTACATTTCAGCTGCCTACTAACTCTGGTTCAAAGGCTCGTCCTTGCTCCATTGAATTGCGATGCAACTTCGCAATCCAATTGCGAAGCAAGGTTCTAACTAGATCGTAAACAAACTCTACAATGTGATTGGTGCACAGGTGACTGGCATGTGGACCCAGATGGCGAGCCAACTGCTGCAAGACTTCCAAGAGCGCGCCGTCGCCCTCAAGACCGACAAGCCCGAGCTGCGCCAGATCATCGACCAGCTGCGCGAAGAAACAACAACTAGGCGCGTGGAAGACTGGGGCCAGCTGACTTCCTGCCGGATCGACGGGGCCGACTCCGAAACGGGGGGGTCCCCCGCCTGCTCGTTGGCGGGGGGGTCTTCTGGAAATGCCGGCAGCGCGGCGGAGGGTGCCGGGTTTCTCGCGGTTGCGGGGAGGGTTGCGATTGGAGGGGGGGTGGGAACGGGCCCTGGGAGGGGCCCCCTGGGGACGGCGCTGGCGCATTACGTGCACCGGTGGACGAGCGCGGGAGCCGCGTGGATGGACCGGGCGGAGATGGCGCTGCGGGAGGGGGTCAAGTACTTGCTGCAGGGACTTGTGAGTTGCCTGCATCTGCAAATCTTTCAGGGCTTGTTATGTTTCTAGTGGCCTTTCACAATGTTTGCTGACTGTCTCAAACTTTGAGAATTGGTGATATGGATGCTAGTCTGGTGGCTGCATGCCCCCGGGCCGTGCTTTTTGAATCGGTTTCAGGTCAATCCAGTGGCCGCATTTCCGTGTGTAACTGGATCGTCCTGTGAACAAAGACTTGGGTGTGTGCAATCAGGGATTCTACCCCCCTCAATCTCCTGCATCATCCTTGAACGTCCGATTTTGTCTTATTCTACATCTGAGGCGTCTGGTCGAAAGTCTCTGGCACGCACTCTTCTCACTTTCTGCCGTAAACTTCTGAGGCAGCCAACACTCAGCTTCTCTTAACCTGTAGACCCATGACTTAGAGACTCGGAGCAGGGCCTGTTTGGACTAAATCGGTCTCAATGGGAGTGTTCTAGTGGCCAGCACAGCAGTGGTTCATTTGGAGTGCCGTTTCTCTGTTAGAACAATCAATCCAACGTTGCGGTCTGCTCGAGTGACGTGCGAAGGCTGGGGTTTTTATTCAAACAGCTTTCGTCGCTGAAAATAAGTTGCCTTACTTCCTTCTTCCACGGTGTTTCTCAGTGGCGCTCGGAGCAGCCGGCCAACAAGGCCCGCGCGAACTACGAGGCGCTGATGTCAGAGGCGAAGCACGCACTTGAGTACCTCCGCACCAAGATTGGCGACCCGCTGTATGTTTTCAGCACAGAGAAAGGGTACCTCATGCTGTCGGACGTTGGGCGCGCGCGCTACGGCATTCGGACGGTGAACGTCACGATTTCGGCCACGAGCGCCTGCTTTGGGGGCAAGTGAGTCGCAGCTTTGACCGGGCTTTCGGGCATTTTGAAAATTGACCTTTTATCCCAGGTTTCGGGGCTCCACAGATCCCTGGAACTTGAGATCTCTTGCGTTGGCGTCTTGAGTTCATGTTCGCAAATCATAGGGTTCATAATAGTTGAATCTCAGGACGACAGGCGCAGTGTGACTGCTTGCTGTGGCAGGTAGGGAGCTCTGCTCTCTGAACGTACACTTGAAACGGTGAAAGACCTCAACTTGTCAAGAAGAGCTCCAGGGAATCTTCACCTGTTGAGTAGGAGGAGAGAAGGTCCATAAGTTACTGGAGACTCCGAAGTACTCTGATTGAACACTGAAGTAGTTTGCGCCTTGTTCGGGAATCGCAGTCCAGCGGAGTCGATCAACGACCACAGATTGTCAAATAGACACTCCGAACAAACATCTGAAACGTCAAGAAACGTGGACTTTCCTTTCACATTGCGGTGCCCGCTGCTTGGCCGCAAACAAGGACAATACTCTTGTATGCGGCGTTCATTCTGGGACGAACGTCGGGTAGACTCAAGTGACGTCCCCGAAAGACTCTTTACTCTGCAAAAACCACTCTGAATTGCATCTTTCTTTTCGTGCAGGCTACAGCGCCTGCTGATCGACAACCTAATTGGCTACGACACGATCCTGATGAACAGCCTCCTCGCCGCGCGTGGCCGCGGCTACTTCTACAACCTGCAAACGAAAGAAGTCTACAACCTCAACTACGGCCAAGAGCTCAACAGCAGCTCTGCCGCCGGTGCGGAAGAGTACCTCATCTTCAAGTTCGGCGTCTTGATTACGTCACTGTTCGTGTTCTTCACGACGACGATGTCGGTCTCGTTCACGCTGCGCGAGACACAGCACCGAATGCTCAAGTTTACGGTGCACTTACAGCACCACGCGCGGCACCGCCTGCCGACGTTCCGGCTCATATTCGTGCACGTCGTCGAGTCGCTCGTCTTTGTGCCGGTGAGTCCTTCTGGGTTCCCTTCGCTGTCCTATGAAGTTCGCAGATTCAGTATCTATTCGGCAATGGGTATCGAAATCTGGGACTGTCATGAGGGGTTTTGAAAAAGGCCCTTTTCGAGACAGTGGAGTTCGGCCAACAGTCTGAATCTTGGCATGTCTTGCATCGAGACCAGAGACTCTTAGAGAGCTGAACTGCGGACCCGCACAGCTAGATTCCAAGCATTCCAAGCAGTTTCCAACAGCGCCTCTGGGTCTTTCTTCATCTCGTGTTGCCCGTTGCCAATCTTCAGCCTTAGGCTGCAGAAGCCGTGAAAACGAAGCCCTTGTCTTCAGGTCAATTGAGCTCTGATGTGTGGGAGCCTACTTTATTCCCCGCAGACTATATTTAGCATCCTGTACTCCTTTTTCTCTTTCCTGGATCCGGTTTTACCAACACAGACCGCCCTGAAACTTGAGACTTGGAACGGTAGAATTGTAAAGGCCTGAATTCCCAAGTCCAACGTTTTCTTCCCCCTCAAATTAGGATGTTGTCCCGTTCGTTCTGTTCCCGTTTTCCAACTGTACTTCTTGAAGCAGATATCGGCATACCTGTAGACGACGTATTGTCTTTGGTAGACCCTGATCGCATCTTGCTCGTGGTCAAGGTCTCGTTTTCTTGTAATAACAGAAGATATGCGGTGTTGAGAGACGGACCTTTCCGCCCCTTCCCGGCAGCCGCAATTCTTCTCGCGTGCGCCTTTCTTGGTGTTGGCGCCGTCACCACATGGCTTGTTTTCCAAACCTTGTCCGTTCTTGTTTGATCTTTCTTGAACACACCTCTCCCTTCTCTCCCTTGCGGATCATGGTCGGCACCCTGTTCTTCCTCTTGTTCGTTCCTTCTCCTCTTTCTCGCTGTTTCTGCGACTGATGATTGGCATCTTGTTCTTCCCGTTCGAGTTTCTCAGCCCTGGGTCTACCAAACCCTTGAACTGTGAAAGCCTGACCCTAGAAACCCCCAACGCTTTAGTAACCTGAAACGGCATGTCTTCCTCAACTGAAACCTAAAGTACCCTTTTGCTGCGCAGATCATGGTCGGCATCCTGTTCTTCCTCTTCGAGCCTCTCAGCTCCGGTCCACCAAAGCCGTAAACCGTGACAACCTGACCCTAGAAACGCATAATTTCACTAACCTGAAACGTAATGTCTCACTATCTCAAACGTATTGTCTGAGTAACCCGACACCTGAAGTAAAACCTGTTTGTGCGCAGATCATGATCGGCATCCTGTTCTTCCTCTTTGAGTTCTTCGACGACCAGCTGCTGGCGTTTATGGTGATGACGTTGGTCTGGCTGTGCGAGCTGTTCAAGATGATCTCCGTCCGCACGCGAGTATCTATGCAGTACTTCCCGCGCTTCTTCTTCCTCTACTTCATCATCTTCCACATCTACTTCTTCTCCTACTCCTACGGTGAGCGCGAGCACTGCTTACTTCTTCTGCATAACCTTCCCTCCAACCCGCGTCTGTCTCTTTCGCGTCGTCTTCTGCTTCGACCTGGTTTTCCATGCGTTGCACGCTTTCTTTTAGGATAATCGCCGTCCACAGGATGCTTACAGATTTTCTGTCCCTTTCGAGCGGCCGCACAACCGAAATTGTTCTAATTCTGGACATTCACTTTGTCGCTGACGCTGTCTCACGTTTCTGTATGAACCTGCCCGCAAATCTTACGCAATTTCGCCTCAGAATGCGTTTGACTTGCGACTCCAAAGGCACCAAAGCCGCGAGAAAAGAACGACAACGCCTGCGAAGACTTCATCGATCTCTTTGCATTCTTCTCCTATCTGGCCGTCGGTCGACGGTGACCTTTTTTCCAGCACACATTCTTTGATTTGGCATTTGCTTCTCGCCGTTGGATTTTCTGCGTGACCTCCTTTTAACGGCGGGCTTCCTACAGCACACGGTCCTCTCTCTCTATCGCTAAGGTAGAGAAGAAGGATAGTACCACCATTAGACATTCTGAAGCTGTCCCTCTGACCATTATGTCTTTACATTATGCAGGTTTCTCCTACTTGGCCTTCTTTTCGACGGTCGCCTTCCTGCAGCACACGGTGCTCTTCTTTTGGAACCGCTACGAGGTCCCTGAGCTCGCCCGTCAGCGCCAACAGCGCCCCGGTGTAAATACGCCCCCGCAGCCGCGCATCACCTCCGCCCACCTCACAATGTTCGACTCAATGGGCGAGTTCACACACTTCAGCGCAAACGCAATCCCAGGGACCAGCAGTCACCCGCCACGTGGCGACACACCGCAGGCGCCAAGTGGCGCGCCATCAAGCGCTGCGCCGACTGGGCATTTGTCAGAACGGGAGCCCAGCCGGCGGCCGAACGGCGGTGTGAATAATCTCGAGGAGGAGCGGGCGAACCGGCGGAGTCTTTCGGGGTTGGGGTCCATTTATGCGAGCCTCTTGTCCGGAAGTTCGGACGATCTGGCCGCGCTTGCGGAGAGACGGACGTCCGGGACGTTTGCTCCGGACGGCGCTCGGGAGAGAGAAACGGAGCGAGTTCCCGGAGGGATTCCCCCGGGCGGAGACACAGTTCCAAGCGGGCCCGGGAGTGGGCTCCCGTGGGTGCTGGGCGGTAGCCAAGGTTCGCTGGTTTCGTGGCTGCCCATGTTTCGAGAGCAGGGCGGAGGGTTTGAAGGGGTTTCCGGAGGTGAGGGGAATGGAACTCCTTCAATGCAACAGAGCGGAGGGGGAGAGGGTTTGCCGGCCAGAGAACAGGGAAACCGCCCGCTTTTGACGCGGGTCGCAGAAGATTCGATGAGAGAAGACGCGATGGCGGCGGGCGTCCTATCGCCAACAGATGCGAATGCGGGCGGGGACTGGGGCATCAGACGGAGGGACCACCATAGGGGCCGGCGGTGGCGCAGCTGGGACGAAGATTAGAAACTCATCGGGACACACGATCCGGCGTTCTTTACGCTGGCGCCTCCGATGATTGCGTTCTGTGAAAAAAGTGCACATGCGTGTCCCTCCGCTCAGTTACCCAGTGCTGTTTTCCACGCGCGGAGGGATGCCTGTAAGAAGTAAGTTCGCCCGAGTCGATACTTGGTGCAAGCGGTTTCGGGTCGAGGCTTCCGAAGTTGCATGAGAGTCAAGGTTCAAGGACCAGAGCTGGAGCGAAGAAGCAGCCACCTCGCTACTTCCCCACTGCCGCCACGAGCAGATAGGTGTTAGCATGAGAGTGTAACATAGGAGATTGACGTAAGTAGGAGTAGGGTAAGCAGCATGCCCGGCGGGTTGAAAGCAGCTGAGCAGATTATTTCGTATACTGGCGGCTAGACAGTATGGTGTACAATTCGTGTGTGGTGATGGGGTTGTGCGTTCCGGCCGACCGCACTATACCAGAGCTTATCTTGGTAACGATTCTAACATTGGGATCAGACTTGAACTTCCTACATCTGCAGTGACGGTCATTGGAACTTGAAGGATCCAACGTTTCTGTATAAACAATCAGTGTAGTGACTTGACGAACGGTCAACTGCAAGAAGTACAGGGGTCACCTCCGCTTAAGCCTGATGATTGACCACGCCAGGAGGCTTCAAAGTCAAAGAATCGCTTCTAGGCTCAGTTGCAAGGTGCGTACTAGCGCTCACAATATATCGGAAGCTTCGAAGTTGTTACTCACAAAAAGGACCGCGTCTCACTGCTTGTTGCTTGCATCCAACAGTTGCGCCGTCAGTCCGATGGCTGGCATGTGCGTAAAAAGGTGACCTTGATCCGGGTCAAGCGGCTAGTAGCCATGCACACTCAGTGGCATGGCGTCTCGCCAGGACTCTACTCGTGCTCGGTATAATCCGAGATGCATGCGAATGCATCCTGCATCTCCCTGAAGTTGCATGACTGCAGCTGTGTGCATGTGAGTCCAGTCTGCAGATCATTCGAGACGGTGTGCATGGCATGCCGGCCGCCTATATACTAAGCTAGAGCTAGATCCGTGATATGATCGATCACATGTGTGCAATGCTTAATTGTATGCACGTCAATTATTCTTCATGAGTCAGGCAAGTCCTTATTTAGCATGCATGACGCGGGCTGCGCGTCCGCCCCGCAGAAGGTCGATATCAGCGATCCCGGTGATCGAACTAGGTGCGGGATCGATATCCTAGTTTAGTACCATTCTAGCTCTCGCAAACAGCTGGCAACTGGTTCAAGTTTTTGTATCGCGATCATTTCAGCTTGGCATGCACGGTAATTCGGAATCATGCATATGATCATCCGCCACGTAATAACATCTGGCCGCCCGACATGCTAACGCGGCACTTGCACGATCCCTTCTATTTATGCACAAGCTTCTTCTATTACGACGGTTGCCGCAAACTTGTAATGCTTTTGAACCTTCACAGATTGGTGGTACAAAGAGCGATCATGCTATGCAATATGATGCGCGGCCTGCAAGCAAGATCGAGAGCTAGCTTATCATAGAATGTATAATATCAGACTAACCAAGCTGTAGTACTTATATACGGTTGATCTTGCACTGAGGTACCAGAGAATCCAACGTACGACCGTTGCGTGCAAGTTACTGGTTGGCTCTCAATCTAGCCGGACGGCATGCCTATGCCATTCCGCAGTGGCGCGGGGGAGCTGTAGGCACGTGAAGGGCCATTCAACGTCTAATTTAAGTTGGGAATCATTAGCAGATTCAGAAGGTGAGTCCCATGTGGAGTTAGCTAACTCCACTAGCCTATGAGTTTCAGCAAACATTTACCGCTTGGAAAGAAGTAAAAGCCAACAGCTTACTCAAATATGCAAACCCGGCCATGCCCTCTATGCTTCTGCATGTCTGGAGGAGAGCGTTGAATGCTAAGGTGTACCTTTATGGATGGATTGCTCAGGTCGACATCAAAATCAGGTTGCCATTCCGCGAAGCCACTCACTTTATATTGTAAGATCGGACGTTGATGAAGCGAGCTTGGATGGTTCCTTCGAGAAGTTTTCTGCCGCTTCCCGTCGAAAGTCAGCGACCATGTCCTCAGTGACCTGCACGCGATCAGGAAGACGCCGGTCTTAAGTACACTACTCAACGGTTTCGATTCGCTTTTAATCTGATACTCCGGCGTCCTGCAGAGTGTGGCGTTAACGAATCGATGAAGCCTCCGCCATCGAGACGTCATCCAGAAGAAGGCAGCGTTGGTAGCGTCTCAAACAGATCAAAACCGCGTCTACTTGCAGGCAGCTGAACGATCCACGAATCTGTTTTGACGGTGACACAGATTCGGAGAACTTCTCCTGTGATGTAAGCTTTATGCGTTCATTCTTACCTTTTTGGTGAATCTTCGTAGCGGGAATGCGCGCCGGGGAACCCCGGGAATGTGTGCCTTCATGGTCTGGTACAGCGTAACCTGGATAGAAGTATGGTACGGGATAACTAGTCTAGCAAGAACTAGGCATTATGGTTGCCTGGTAGACCCTTGAAACACAATCAGCCACATGCTTCAAGATATTCTCGGGTCTCGAAGTTTTGAATTTCAAAGTCCAAACCCTGTTCCTTCAAGACAGGCATCTTTATCGATCTCCCAGGGTATGACAGCAGTGCACGAATTGAAATCAACAATATGGAGGGTCTGCATTTAAAAAGGCAAGTCAACCACGATCTCACATCTGGTTAGCCAGCCCGGCCGAGAGGGTGGTATCACAAAAAGGTTCGACTTCAACCACTCCTGGTTGGCGCATGGTTCTAGGAGTCTCAACCATATAAGTATAGTAGGGACCTGGTTAAGCCCCTCCAAATCAACCCCGGTTCATAATTGGCGCAGAAAATATTGTTTGTAAACGCAAAAGCAGTTTCACCTGTGTCATGGGCAGCCCTTTTTGTTGCTCAGTCATCGGTGTGATCTCCCACCTTCCCTCAAAAATCTTCATCATGCCCTGCCGCCCCAACCGAAAGTCGACCGCGAGCTGCCTGCGGTCCTCCTCAAAGTGCATATGCGTTGTGAGCGTTCCCCGCCAGACCAGCACGTTGTACCACTGCTGAAGCTCCATCTCTTTTGAACGGATGCCTGCAATGGGATACACGCGCACCGTGAGGAGCCGTGTGAGTTTTATCAAAGAGTAATGGAGACTAGGTGTTTGTGAAGAAGGTGCATCTCGCTTTGAACGAGAGACTGTGGCATCATGGGTGGAATGGTAAGGAGGTGTCTCATTTGTATTCCCGTGGACTGTGTCAATCTGCAAAACAAAAAGATCAGTCAGGACTCAGAGGGCAAGCAATGCAACTAATTGCAGGAGTAGTCACATCAACAAGCTCGTGCTGGGCATCCTTGTCTAAGGTGAACACTTACAACCAACCGTTCTGCAAGCTGAGAAGCCAGTGGATACGGAACAGATTCTTGACTGCCTCCCGTGCAAAGTCAGCCCCAGCTATCATCAGCGCCCAGTTGCACCAAACTTTGTCGGACTGTTCTTACCCCCGCCGTCGTCCTCATGGATGATCAGATTCCTGTACCCTCTGAACTTTTTCTTGAAGACGCGCGTGAACTCGTCCGGGTCTGTCAGAATGTCGTACACGCGACTAGCTGGCATGGGGACTTTGTACACAGCCCGCATCTGGACCGCGGACCGAGCGTGATCGTCTTTGAAATCAATCTGTGCTTGGGGCAGGTCTGGTACATTCAAATCAGCCATCGCGGCAGCTTGGTACCTTATTTGGAACTTTCAAGTCTTGCCCGCTATCTGCTGAAGTTGCTGAGAAAGTTTCTGCGCTAGCTGCTGATTCTGTTGACAATCTCTGCAACGCCTGGCGTCTCAAGCGAACTGTGCATTGGAGTTGCAACGTGTGTTCAGCGGATTCCTCACCGTTTGCACAATTCAACCAGTTCGATCGCCAGGATTATATCCAGTCCGATTCCAGTTTTCCAACGGTTTTCGTTGTTAAAAGGAGCTTGAGGTGACATAAAAGTCAGGTTCGATCAATGCCATGCTTTAAGGAAAAGTCGGTGGACTTGTGCCAAGTTGACAGCTACGCTGATCCCATCTACTAAGCACTGTTCCTTTTCGAAGCCCGGCAACTAAATCCGTACCAGTGAAGAAACCCTGGTCATAGCTGGTCAAGTTCTGGAGTCCTTTATATTGGCAGTACTAGCAAGCAGCTGCCATGCGCGGCGCGCAATGTGAGCTGCTACTGATCAGCCAATTCTGGAACAAGGCGAACTTTCCAACGGCGAAGGTCAGAGCCGGAGCTGCTGAAGAAAGTTCCTAGAAGACACCTAGAAGACAGCTCATGAAAGAGTGCAGCTAACGCTATTAGCAGCTATGCAGCTAACGCTTTGAAAGGAAAGCTCGGATAGTCTACGACAGGGCGATTGGGGCAGTCCTATACGGACCTCCGATCTTGGCAATCCGGGTTTACTGAACGTTCAACGTAGTACCGCAGTACTAGTACGCATCAATTACAGTGACGAGCATCGGAAATGGATCCCCTGACGTCATAATTGATATTTGAGGGCTAGCCGTACTAGGTATCATGACTATCAAAGTATGAGAGCAATTGGACTCAGAGGATCCGGCCCCCCTGTGGGCCAGCCCGAGGCTGTGGCTGTGCTCTTGTCCGGTTGGGCAGAGTTTTGCCCAATAATCAATTTCGTATCTCATGGATTTTGGGCAGCTTCACTTATCCATTTATTTTGTTTTTTTACGGGGCCAATTAATGATATGCAAATATTCAATTCGAATTTATTTTCAATTCAGATTTGTGGGCAAGTCATTTAATTGTTGCCCAACCGGACAATTGGTACGGTATGATGATCACTAGCTGACGTCGGAAGAGCTGTGCTGCATGAGCCGGATCAAGGAGACTCGGTATTTTTGGGACCGCCCGGCCGGCCAACCGGTCCCGCCGGCGATGCTGCTGGATCTTGGAAGGGCTTGCCCTGGCGGGGTTTAGTGGCAAAACCCTGGGTTAGGCCTCTTTAAATATTGATCAATCATTAATCTCGAACCCCGGGTTAGGACTCAGAACCCTGAAGCCTTGCCACGTCAGATCTTCCATGGTCGATCAGCGTCCCCGACTCCCCGGCCGGCCCAGCCGATGTTCCGGTCCCCAAATTACTGATTCTCCTCGGTACCCCGCTCTGCATGATTGGTGCGTAATGCGCAGCGCTCAAGCCTCACCGCCGGCTGCCTATACCCAATCTCATATACCCGTACTACCAAGGTATGATTCCGAATAAATAAAGAATTATTTGCATTCGGAAAGTTGGAAACTCCGGAAAAGCAGTCGGATTCTGCTTTTTCGGAAACCGATATTAATTGCTAAAATGCATTCGGAAAGTGATTTCTAAGCCGTCGGAGCATACGGTACGTACCTTTTACCACTGTAAACTTGAAAAAACGTGGGTACCGGGTACCCTCTCCGCGATTCGGATTTAGGGTCGGAAAGTGGAAAATAATACACGATTTGGCCTCGCATTCGCTAAAATAATTGCTCTTTTTGAGCATTCGGAATCATACCTTGGTCGTACGGGTATAGTTATGCGGTCATGCAACGTTTCAATCCAGTGACGTCAAGTTTTACTGGTCTCAATCATGATGCGGATGAACAATCTGAGGACACCACGCTCATCAGCTGGAGACGTGGGACTCCTATACCTGGCGATGGTCGCCGGAGCGCGGGTGCCAAA